GGTCTTCCGGTAACAATTTTGTAACGAGTCATAAAAAAACAATAACAGTGAAATATTCTCCACAGTGATGACGAAAGGGGGACGGGTGTTGGGGGTCTGTGTGGGGAGGAGATACTTGAACTGGCACAAAATAGACAACATTCATAATGTCCAACACAACAACAACAACCAATAGATGTACAGTGCCTGTGAGCAGCGCCCAGCGTGGGGAGACACCACCCACAAACCCCTCTCCAAATATACAATAAAGAATAGAATGTATCTTAAAGAGCCAATAGAAAGATGTAACAATATTCTTGGACCATTTTGAGGCAACAATACATTGCATTATAACCAAGGAAGGGAGGAGGGTTGGGGTGGGGAGGGATATTTACAAGACCGATGACTTATAGAACCATTCTCGATAAAATATACATGAGCGGGCGGGGAGCAGAGGTTGTCGGTTTAACAGCACCACCTGGTGGTTGTGGTGACATGCCTTGTTCAGGTTCTCATGGACATGGTTTTCTGCTACGTGGGGACCTATAAACACATCCGAACGCGTGCACACACACACACATACACACACACATATGGGAGGCCACAAGACAAAAGCAAGTTTTCATCAACAAATATCCTTCAAACTCCTCTATAGAAGGAAATTTTCACCAACAGCAACAGCAAACTTCTCACAAATCTCTAAGGAAGGAAATTTTCACCAACAAATTTATCTTTTTAGACAAGTTAGGTTTCATCTTTTTATTTATATCATCATTGTGTTGCAAGGTGGGGCTGTGAAGAGAACCACTATGCTTTGTACATCTCTTGGCCTTCCCCTGTAATTTTCATTTCATGCAGCAGACTCAACAATTATATGTTGCTGAAGTTCTACACTAGGTAGTGGTGCTGGTGTTTTGGAAAGGGGGGTGGGGGTGTTAAGCTCAACAACAGCATTACCCTGTGTTGGAATTTTATACTCTCAAAGAAAACTTGGACAAATTTCAAAGACAAAACACAAACCTTTGAGGGAGACAAAATCGTCACTCCATTTCCCCTCAAACAGTTTGCATCCTACATCTCACATACTCCTTAGAACTCCCCCCCCCCTTCCCCAAATTACCTTTACCTTCCTTTTCTCTCATACAAACACACACACACACCAACACACAGTGGCATGACAATAAACAAAGCCCAGTTCATATCACTAACTGCCTATCAATACTACAGACCAAAATCAAAGCTCCTTTTAGGCCACTCATTCGAAATCTATATTGGTCTCACACAATTGCTTTCTAAATAACATTTCTGTCGCAGGTCATATCTCACTTCTGATCTGCAGTGTCAACATGATAGTCACATATAACCAAACAAAAAATCTCTTTTAGCAACATCTGATAGTTCAAAACGCTGAATCATAACAAAATGACGACAAAGTGGAAGTAAATATAACGCAATGCAAGTTTTGGCAAACGTCAACCACGACAAAGTACAACAACAGTCTCTTCTAGTGTGAGGCGTGCTCATCAAATGATTCACTTCCAAAATCCAAGAACGAAAATATAGGCCAAAAATAGACACAACGGTCAGATTTGTAGATTTACTGATTCCGTTTTTTTTTTCAAGTTGAACATTTATATCATTTCATACAGACAAACTGTACAAACTCAACCTGCGGTTGGTAGACAGGTGCTCGAGTGGTTTGCTCTGTCTTTCCTAACAAACACTTATCCTCCTTATCTCACCTCTTTTTCCTTAGTATGTTCTTTTGTAACACCTCTAATCTTTGGCATTAGCATGACCTATTTGTGTGGCAAGTACTGGGAAACTCTTCATTAAAACTGAAAACTCAATCTATAAATTTGATGCATTTATGTCCAAACAACATTTCCCCTGTGAAGCAACTCATTCAGTCAGCATGCCTCACATTTCCTGCTGTCAGGCTATCCTAGCCCCCCACTCTCATACCCTCTCCCTGCCACTCTGGTGACTCCTCACACTCCCCAACTGCTACTCCCAACACCACCTTACTCGTAAAACCATCAGCCCCACTCCTATGCTAGTAAAGCACTCTTGAAGCACACCCACATACTCATTGTTAATTCTTCTGTCATGGGGAGGAAAGGGGAGGGAGAGGAGCGAGGAATTCCCTTCTCTCCTCACTCCCTCAAATAAGCACCACACATCCCCCTGTACCATGCTACCGAGGCCTAGAAAGCTTCCTTGATCCTGCCGACATAACTTGCTCCAGCAAAATAAAGACAAATTCTGACCTACAGTTCAAACCAATGACCTCGTCTTTCGATCCCCATGGTAAAGTACTCAGGCTCTGACCTCTTCAACATTTCCCTTGTCAAGGACCCAGGTATCTCCACTGTAAAGTACTCACACTCTGACCTCCACACCCTCCCGACCTCCGACATTCCCCCCCCGTCAAGGACCCAGGCGGAGACAGAAGCACCGAAGAAGTCTTGCAGACAACAGCAGACAACAACAAGATGGCGTCTGCATCATTAACATAATACATATATCATCATCATCATCAAGTCCAGTGTTCTTTGATTGTTTCGTCTTCTTATTTATAGTCAAGATGTGCAATCGTATATATATAAATGTATTAATTTATTTCATCATTTATGTTATATTCACGTCGTAAGACAAAACTCCCTCATCTCCCAGAGAGCAGTTGTTAACCCAATACCATAACCCAAGTTGTGCTCACGCTGGTGAAAGTGTTAAGTGACAGCGTAAACACCTCTCACATTGTCTTACATTAGCCGCAGACTAGCCCCGGCACATTGATAATAGCACTGCTGCGCTCCCAAGACTTAGACCTGAGAAAAACCTCCACAGACACCATCATTTTAAGGCCGAGGGCACATTGATATGTCACCCACATAATGTCACGGCTTTCTTTTTCTCTTCTTCTGATAAATATACTTTTTAAAATAAAACAATGACGAAAAAGGGAATCTTTGTAAATGCTAGCAACAGACTTCGAAACAATGTTAAATCTCCCGCAGACTCTCTTACGGCGACTATTTTTAGCTCCCTGATCTCCCTCCGAATGAAGATGACGATGGCGATGATGATGAGGAGGAGGACGATGGCGACGACGAAGACGAGAGATCTTCGGCACCAGACATGTAGTTGATCAGCTGCTGGCACAGGAAAGCCGAGACGATGGCCACCAGGACGAAGCAGCCGAGGATGACCGCCGCCCACTGCTGGTCAGTCCAGGGCTTCCTCTCCTCAGCGTGGCCCTCAGAGGCTGAACCAGAGCCAGAGTCTGACTTAACCGTCTCTGGGGCCGGCGTGGAGAAAAGAACGCCGGAGCTGAAGGAGCCCGTGATGTCACCGGTGTTGTCGGCAGACAGACGCACAGCCGCCACCCGGGCCTGGTACTCTGTCTGGGGCAGCAGGTCCTCCACTTGGAAGTGGGAGTTTGGTCCTTTGTAGATCTGGGGACATATCCAGAAAGGCAGGTGTCATTAAGACGTATTTGGGGGGAAGTAGTCAGTACGACATACAGAAGCATGTAGTCATTCCATGGGGAGGTTATACTGTACTTTTATACATAATAAATTAAGATGAGCCTAAAGCCTATACAAATAACAAATTGCATTAGTAGAGCTTAAATTCCGACTCAGTAGAATGCTCTATGCGTTTTACAATCTAAATCATTTCCTCAATAGACCTGATAGTATTCTATGAATAATTTCAACTACCTGGAGAGCATACACTGCAAGCTGCCATTTTCCAGGTGCTAAAACGGCAACATAATGATGAATTGTTTCACTGTCTATGGCCGGGTGCTACACCACACATCATCCAGCAGTTTCAGAGGCATCGATAGTCTAGTGGTTAGGCTACTGGACTTGTAATTGTCAGTTTGTAGGTTCAACAGTTCGAGGATTAGCTCGGCCTCACATTGTGTCTTTGAGAATGAACGCACTTTATATACATTGTCCCATTGGGCTGGGTCCTCTTGAAGATGGATGTTAAATTAAGAGGTCCCACTTCTTAAACAACATTATAGTGTTGCAAACAGTTCTAAACCTATATAATTTCGAACATTTATTATTTCGTATTCACCTGTTTACTTTTAGTACGAGTTTTACAGTACTTGTAACACAAATAATAGGTCATAGAAGATTAACTCTTTGGCTACCAAGGCATTTTCCGTGCTGTTACCAAGGCATTTCTTAGTCTTAGAATTTCAGAAGTACCCCTGTTCTTCTTTTGCGTCTGATGGGCATAATTCTATATGGAAGTCAGACATGTTATATACCAAAATGAAGGTAATTGAATGTAGAATATTTTTAATCTAATAAAAAAAAAATTTTAAGTCATAAATCCAAACAAAGATGGGAGGTAAGTGAACACAAGGTGAAAAAAATAAAAAAATAAACAAAACATTTTCAACTTATATTTCTCACAGTGTATAGCTGCTAAATCCAATCACTTCATGACTTAGTCATACTGAAGTATATTCAATTGTCTCTAACTGGGCCAAGTTTCATGCACAATGGTCAAGTATATACAAAGTTGTCGCACTTTTGGTGAAATCACTCACAATGAAAAAAAAAGAGAAAAAAACGCTGCACACACGCCCCTCTCTGCGAATCTTCATTCTCATCGCTGTCGCTGCTGTCCGACACAGGTCTAACTTCATCCCCTCCTACATCCCTATCGGAAAGTACTGACAGTTCCTCTTCATCATCAACTAACCACGTTTCAAACTTTTCCAGGGTTTTTGAAGCAAAAAAACGTTGTGAAGGGCGGGAACCTGATGGGTCATCAGCCATTTTGCCGTTGCTATGAGTAAACTAATTCGAGCAACACAGGGCGGGTCAAAAAAACATGAAAAAATGCAAAAAAAACCCAGCAGAATAAAACACAAAAGGCGCCAAATTCCTTCACTGGTAGACTGATGTATGGTAAGCAGAGCAGTTAAAAACATGAAACGGAAGGGTTGAGTCAAATTGTGGAAGAGAAAGGGAAAGAAAAGCGCGAGCCGTGGCCACGAACTAGGAAGTTATGGAGCCGATAGATCGGCTCATGGTAGTCAAAGAGTTAAGAGTTGATCTGCAGATAACAGAAATAAAACAAAGAGAAATAAGAATGATAGAATGTAATTGGAAAGAAGAAGCAGACTAGGCGAGATCACCCGCCAACCACACACACTCACCTGTTTATACTCTGTGTCCGCCCCACTGATACACAGAAGCTGTAGGATGTAGGCCATGGAGTCGGAGCCCATAGGCCGCACACTGTGCCACTCCAAGGTGCAGCCACGCTGGCTTAGACCAGACACTTTGGGTGCTACAGGGAGACAAACAGACAATACATCACCCATAAAGAATCTAATGTTTTTTGTTCAGCAGTTTTGTGTTGTAAGAGTCTTAGTTTTAGTAGAGGTTTTACGGCACTCGCAACTGCATAAGGTCATATGAGTGCCAAAAGATTGTAGGTGTTACAAGAGAGTAACAAACATGAAAAAAGAAGAAGGGGAGATAAGGATGATAGAAGTTTGATAGGAAAGAAGAAGCAAACCACACCAGAGCACCCGCCAACCACCCATGTTGTAAGAATGCTACGCACTTGCAACACAATTAGGTCATATAAGTACTAAATATTAGTTGTATTACAAGAGAGTAACGAACACAACAACAAAAAAAGGAGAGATCAGAAGAAAGTAACTGATGTGCAAAAGAAAGAAGGAACAAACCACACCAGGTCATCAGCCGACCACCAACAATCAAATGTTTTCTGCGCTGTTCTTTGAGGAAATTTTATTTTGGGTGTAAAGAGATATACACATCAGCACAATGTCGTTGAGACAGGGAAAGTAAAACTGACAGACACAAAGAACAGAGGGAAAGAAAATGGCAGCACCCTCCAACCATGAGTAGAACTGTTTCATATCTCAATCAACACAATATATATCCTCTAGGGGGCAGGCTGCTTCGGCCCCCGCCTCGCCAGGGCCAATGCACAACTAGAAAGACATAAGTACTCAATTGTGACATCTATCTTATCAATAAAAAATAATTCATTTACATGTTTACAACTCAAAACAAAATGTCCAGCGCTTTCATGTTCGTTTTGCTTTTGAAGATTTCATATTCAATGACTAAGACACATGACGAGATACAGATAGAAGTTGCAAGGACACACACAACTAGACAGATAGAAGTGACTACCAAAAACAAACACGGCAGTTTTTCTATACGTTTCAAACACATCAATCTCTACCTCTCTGTTTGTCCCGTCCTTGACCTTTTCGTGCTGATTGGTTCATAGTTCAACCCAAATTTTGATACTTTTATTCTTTATTTCTTTCTTTCTTTATTTTTATTTTATTTTTTTTTCCGGGGTGAGTGGGTTTAACATACATGTATTATCAAAATTCATAAATAAACCTCACACGGTTTAATTCACATTGCCTTTAAAACATCAGTATGCAGCTATCATTTTTATACCAGTACTTCTTGCTGTGGGCACTTCAGGGCCAACATGCCAATTAAGCTTGTGTGATCGTTCTCTCATCCTGAACTCACCTTTGGGAGGAGGGGGCGGGGCCTTGGTGGTGGTGAAGGAGTAGGTGTCGGAGTAAGGTCCACTGCCAGCGTCGTTGCTGGCAAACAGGCGAAACTCGTAGCTTGTCAGCTCTGTGAGGCGGGTCACCTTGTGGGTGTGTGCAGGGCCCGTGTACACTGGCTGGAAGCTACAGGGAGCGCATATGAGAGAGAGAGAGAGACCAGAGCATTACTGATCAGTTCAGTTTTTGTTTAGTATTAGTAAGAGTTCGTTTTTTTGTTTTAGTAGAAGTTTTATGGCATTTAAGTCATGATATAAGTGCCAAAAATTATGTTTTAGTAAGAGTTTTAAGGCACTTGCAACAAAATAAGGTCAAATAAGTGCCGAAGATTAGAGGTGTTAATAGAGAGTAACAAACACAAAAAAGAAGGAGGGGAGATAAAGACAATATATTTTTTTATAGGAAAGAAGGAGCAAACCACACCAGAGCACCCATCAACCCCCTCTTAGTAGAAGTTTTATGGCACTTTCAATACATTTTTAAAGTCATAATATAAGTGCCGAAAATTAGAGGTATTACAAGAGAGGAACATATATAGAAAAAACGGGGAGGAGAGACAAGGACGACAGATGTTTGACAGGAAAGATAGAGCAGGCCACACCAGAGCACTTTCCAACCATCCACATAGCTGTTTTTTAAAAGGTGTCGCAGAGGTGAGTCTTGCCTTTTCCCTCTCTCTCTCCTTCAGACAGACAGACACACACATAAACAAACAGACACAAACACAGAAACACAGACAATCCGTGCTGCAGGTAGCCAACCAGAGCTGCAAGTAGCCACATTACAGAAATTAGAAGCCATCCCCCCACCTGCCGTCCTCTTTCTCCATCTCCAGTGTGTAGGTGAGCAGGTCCGAGTTGCGTCCCTCCCCCCACTTGAGCTTGATGGAGCTAGGTGCCAGCATGACACACTCCAGCCGCGGGGGCGACGGGGGCTGGGCCTTCGTGCTCACTTTGACAGCACTGCTGTAGGCGCCCACCCCAATGCTGTTCACAGCCTGAACACGGATCCTAGGGGGAAGAAAACAAGAGAAAATAAATAAACAAACAACTGGCAGAGGAAAACTGTCCAGCCTACTGTAACACCCACCTGTCCCACGACAATCACCTGTATCAAATACTTTGTTTGGGTCTGTCCCTCATTTTTTACACAAACACACATATGCACACTTACACACACACATATACACACACCTGTAGAAGTCTAAGAATGCACACCATGTTTAACATGATCAGTCTGTCTGTCTGCTTGCCTGTCTGTCTGTCTGTCTGTTTCTCTCTCTCTCTCTCTCTCTCTCTCTCTCTCTCTCTCTCTCTCTCTCTCTCACACACATACACACACACACACACAAAAACTCACTTGTAGACAGTCTCCGGGTGCAGATCCTCCAGCAAATATTCAGTCACAGGGTCCACCGAAATAGGTGGCCGGTCGCTCACATCAATGTTGTAGGAGATGATCTCACTCCCGTTGCAGTGTGGCTCCCTCCACGTCAAGAGGGCGGAGGTCGGTCCCGGGGAGGCCTTGATGGACACGATAGGGGAGGGACTGGAGGAGGGTGTCGTGCACTGGGTGGCCGAAGACAGGGGGCTCGAACCTGCGCTGTTGATGGCCTGAGAGAGGAGGGGGAGATCATAAAAGTATTGATATTAACACCAAAGAATCCACTACACACCCACGCCCAATAAATTAAAACAAAAGTCTTTCAGCAAATAGGCTGAGAAATAAATTTATATGTTCAGCAATAGAACAACACTGAGAGAATTTTGTGAAGAACAGATTCTAGTGTAAACAAAAGTGAAAGAGACATCCAAAAGTTTTAGTCAAACCTTCAATATAACACAATAGCTCCCTACTCAGACCCAGAGGCACTCATCGAACTCATGCTTGCAGACGACCTAGCAATGATGAGCAACAAGACACAACTACAGGAGCATAACAACCAACAAAACGCGAGCTGCGAGAAATATCACATGAAGATCAGTTTTAGCAAGACCGAGGTCATGACAGTTAACAGGAGACCAGACAAATTGGATACCAACATCAATGGATCCCACCTGAAACATACCAGTGAATTCAAATACCTGGGCAGCATTTTCACAGAAAACCGCAAACTAGATTGAGAAATAGAAACTAGATGCTAGAAAGTCAATGCAGTCAGCTATCAACTCGCCCCTCTCCTGAAACATCCCAACATCCCCATGAACACCAAGGCAAAGCTCATCAATGCCATTTTTTTACCAACGCTCACATATCAGTGTCAGACACGGTCCCTAACAAAAGCCCTCGAGAGGAAGCTGGTCACATGCGAAATGAAATGTCAAAGAAGAGCGGTAAACAAGACAAGATCAAGTAGTTGGGACATCTCACATGGATGCCTTCAAACCAACCAGCTCTGAGGGCATACAACACCAGATATTCTGGATGGAGTGCCAGAGGAAGACTAAGACGACACTGGAGCGAATACGTGGCAGACACCCTCAGAGCTCATGGGATATCCCTACTACAGGCCACTCGCCTTGCTGCAGACAGACGCCTGAGTCTCCTAATGGAGCCCACCAGTACAAGCGAAAGAAAAAAGTAAAAAGTAAAATAAGTAAACACCCTACTCAGCTGCAGGTGACCTTGATTCACTGAAGCATAATAATTATTTCCCTAAAGCTTAAAAACTGGGACAGAAAAAGTAGTACTGATTTATCCAACTCTGACATTTTAACAATCTGTATCCAATGCTTATGAAGAGAAAAACTGAAAAGAAAAACACAACGTTTTATTTACATGAATGTTCAATTGGAAGGTCCCGCCTCTGAAAAAAAAATCTTACATTGTTGAAATGGGACTTTCGACCAGTACAATGATCCACAAAAGAAGGCCTGAGCCACATGTCAGGGCATTCACAGGGACTCACCTGAACTCGAAAAGCGTACGGACTGGCAGGCGTAAGTCCTTTAGCATCGAAGCTCATGTTTGGTCCAAAGTATAACTGAAAAGACATCACAACACAGTGAGGGTAAGATTAAACTCTTTCAGGTGACATTGCAGCACTTACGTATGTCCGTTTTAGTAAGGGTTTTGCAGCACTTGCAACACAATTAGGTCATACAAGTGCCGACGATTAGAGGTTTTACAAGAGAGTAACATACACAAAAAAGGAGGAGAGATAAGGACAACAGATGTTTGATAGGATGAGTAGGAGCAAAGCAGACCAGAGCATCTGCCAACCACCTGCCAATAGAGTATTGAGACATGTTTTTTTAAGTACCAAAATGGGAGAACTGATGCTTTTACTCAAGCTAAGCACTTCCTGTCAAGCTTAACTTACTATGCGTGCTTGTGAAAGTCTGTGTGTGTGTGTGTGTGTGTGTGTGTGTGTGTGTGTGTGTGTGTGTGTGT